TATATATATATATATATATATATAAAATATATATATATATATATATATATATATGTTTGTATATATATATATATATATATATATATATATATATATATATATATATATGTGTGTATGTTTATATATATGTGTGTATATATATATATATATATATATATATATATATATATATATATATATATATATATATTATATCAAAAGGGCATTTTATGAAATATATGGATACTGATTAAATTAAAGAAAATATACATACGTAACGCGGTTAAACCTGTTTATGCTTAAATACATCAAAGAACAGGAAAATTTCTATAACAATAGCATATGTTAATAGGTGCATTTGATATTACTTGACGAATGATCAAAACAGATATTTTAATTGATATATAGACAGATACGTTCAGAAAAATATTAAAATATGTTTTCCTTCTCATATATATATATATATATATATATTCATTTTTCATATATATTTGTATATATATATATGTATGTAAATATATATAAATATATATATCTATGTGTGTGTGCATGCATGTATGCATTTGTTTCTAGAACTTACCTCTATGCAGTAATCGATTTTCCCTATGTTGATATAATGAGTAATTTTTGGCTATCCCCTTTATTACAGAACACAGACACACACACATACACAAATATTGCATTTTAATTCTTATTACCCTGGACGTCAGTTTAATAGGTACATGCCTTTGTGTTGACGTATATTTTCTCTAAAAAATATATTTCGATATGTACGGCAGGTAGACGTTTCTTTCAATCTTTAAAGAAATAAAACCGTACATATATCTATCTATCTATCTATCTATCTATCTATATATATATATATATATATATATATATATATATATATATATATATATATATACTTAATACAGATATATTAGCCAAAATAATAAAAATAATAGATCTCTTACAGATACATTCTCATGCACTCGCTAATTGTAGCGTACTTTATATACTGTACACCAGTCTTTGTTTCCAACTGAAAGAACCGCCATAAATGCGAAGCTGTCACTGTGAGAACTAATACGACTTCTTTCGGCTAAGTCCGCAGATTTTGAAATACATCGCTGACGATTTGGAAGATTTTTTCCAGCAGGGTTTTGTTTTATTTTTCCTTCAGAATCTTATGATTTTTCATCCGAATCAAATGATGGGGGGTCTGTGGATGAGTTTTCTCTCTCTCTCTCCCTCTCTCTCTCTTTCTTTTTATATATATATATATATATATATATATATATATATAAAAAGAAGAGAGAAACCGCAAACGTTTTTGGTTGTAATGTGGATGTTTTAAAAAAAATATATCATGCTTTATTTTCTATAATTTTGTTAAACGTGTTTCCAGTCTCGCGACCTTCATCTGACAAAGTGTGGATATGTCCACATATTATTAAAAGGAATTCATTTTTCTAATGCTTTTCGATGTTAAATATTCTCGATATTAGACATTCTCTCTTTGTGTATTAGTGACACAAATGTCTTCCTTGAATTAGCGGTGAAAAAGTTCTGCGTGAAGGGTTATAAAACAATTAAGACTAGTCAGGATGCGGAAGGTATCTACATTCTCATCTTTTACTGACCCCTGTATATTCTTAGATCTATTGCCATTTTTTGTGTTTTTGTCAGCATGCGTACGCATACGTATATTCCCTCTCCATACATACATACTGTCTTATTATAAGGAATTAGTATAGACATATGTACACATACACATACACACGCATATACATACACACACACACAAACACTTCCTATATTGTGTAGGGTTCGGGGGTGTGCGCATGAGCAGTTTTGTTCATGCTAAAATGTGTATGTATAGCAATTTTCCAATCGTAGCTCAGCTGTGGCAAAAGGTCGAAAGTTTGAGGCACCTAGTGAGAATCACTATTCAGTCGTAACTGTTCTAGCAAGACAAGCTTGCTAAAATTTCACTGTATTGAGGTGCCTATATATATATATATATATATATATATATATATATATATATATATATATATATATATATACCAGCATATACATGCGCACTCCCTCTATACATACATACTGTCTGATTATAAGGAATTATGATACACACATACACACACATTCACATACATGCATATATACATACATGCACAGACAGTCTGCTATACACACACACACACACACACACACACACACACACACACACACATATATATATATATATATATATATATATATATATATATATATATATATATATATATATATATATATATATCCGCAAAATGCATACACATATAAGGAAAACTATTTTCACATTTTAGAATTTAGTATCTTGATTGCGTCATTATTTTGTTTTTGACTTTCATGTGATATCGATTTTAGTTGTTGCTGCTGTTGGTAGTCTTTTATTTGGTAGAGTTCTTTGATTAAGATTCTGTAGTAACTCTCCACAATGTTCAAAGAAGAATGATCTTTGCCAAGGGCCTCGTTCAAAGACTTTTTTCACCGTTGATTTTTGGAAGCGGTTTCATACAGCTGGCAAGTTATATATTGCAGAACGGGTTTGACGTTGTATAGATAGATAGATAGATAGATAGATAGATAGATAGATAGATAGATATGGCGTACCGTGAAATCATGGATAGCCGCTGTGAATGCAGAACGTATTCCAGTCAAATTTGTGACATTCATTTACACAAATAGCCATTGGGTAAGGTATGAATACATCTATTCTCAAATCAGATATGGATAAATAATAGGAGAGACTGGATCCTATAGCCTAGGGTGGAAAACTGTCTAGGAGAACAAATCTTAATTCTAAACTTAAAGAGAGTCCTTTGAGGTCGTTGTAGCACGCTATATATTCTTCCAAAACTTGTGGTTGCAACAGCACAAGCCCTCACCAATATAATGATATTATATTTGCCAGTAGTCTTGCTGTGTGTACGTAAGAACTAAGTTGGTATCCACTTCTTCATTCTTGAGGAGATTGCCCAGTATTCACTGTCATATTGGAGAACTGATATGACGTAATCTTTTCTTTGCTTCTAACGAAATGTTTCTTAATATTCTGCTCAACTTTCGGAATGAATCTTTGGCTGTGTCGCGCTTTCCGTCCTGTGTAAATGACTTACCAGATATTTAAATTTTTGTACCTGTTTGATTTTGGTTATTTCCAATTTTTAATTTGTATTTTGGAATTATTCCTTTGTGAACAGATATGCATTCTTGCTTCTTGCAATTAAGGTATAATCCTTTCTTCTTGCTTTCCTTCACTACCTACTGTAAGTGTTTTTGTAATTTTCATTCCGTTTCTACTATGAACACTGTGTCATAAATCGAAAAATACTTAAATGGCGGACACTATGCCTAGCGAGAGGAAGCATGCCTCATGAGAAACAATTTCTTTAACTGAAATGTGCTTTGCTAAGAAAGCCTCGAAAAACCTATAATTACGTGCTCTCGCTGGGACATTTCGAAATCGATATTAACCAAAATATGAAGTAATTTTTAAATAAAAGTTTTTTTTAAAAATTCGACATAAACATTGCTAAAAACGATACAATAATGATGTCAACTTAAACACATGTACCGTTTATAAGCGACGGTTATGATAATTATAAATATTTTCTGATTAAAAAGAAAATTATAGCGATATCATATTCTGCTGGAATTTCCAAATTTTCTTTTAAAGAAACAACCGGAAGAAAATGTTTGACCAGAGATCTTTGTATAACTGATCCAGGAAGTAAAAAGCAATGTAAAAGCATTCTTCGGCTAAGATGCCGAGGATCAAATTGAAGTATTTGTTCCAGCAGCAGACATCCGGCCCACGTCTCCAGCCATCTGCAGCAGTTCCACCCAGGCATCGTCATCTGCAGCTCCAACTATCCTGACCAGCAGCAACACTATGCTGTCTTTTTCAGATCAACGCTCATTCAGGGACCGCAGAACTGGGTTTTTTTTTTTCAGGTCAACTCTCTTCAGAGACCGCAATTCTGTCCTTTTTAGGACAATGCTCTTCAGAGACCGCAAAACTGTCCTTTTTAGGACAGTCTTCAGAGAGAGCAAAACTGTCCTTTTTTAGGACAACACTCTTAAGAGACAACAAAAATATACTTTTCAGGACAACGCACTTTAGAGACCGCAAAACACTTCTTTTAAGGAGAACGCTCTTCAGAGACAGCAAAACTGTCATTTTTAGGACAGTATTCTTCAGAGTGAATAAAACTGTCCATTTTAGGACAACACTCTTAATAGACCGCAAAAATATCCTTTTCAGGACAACGCAATTCAGAGACAGCAAAACTGTCCTTTTTAAGACAGCATTCTTCAGAGTGAATAAAACTGTCCATTTTAGGACAACGCACTTTAGAGACCGCAAAACACTTCTTTTCAGGAGAACGCTCTTCAGAGACAGCAAAACTGTCATTTTTAGGACAGAATTCTTCAGAGTGAATAAAACCGTCCATTTTAGGACAACACTCTTAAGAGACCGGAAAATATCCTTTGCCGGACAACGCAATTCAGAGACCGTAAAAATATCCTTTTCAGGTCAACATTCTTCAGAGACGGCTAGACTCTTGTTTTTAGGACAACGCTCTTCTCATCATCTGCGCAAACACGCAGAACCAATTTTTGTTGTTGTATTTTTAATAATGAAAATGAAATTGGCAATCTATTTTTTACTCAAACTTTAGTTTTGTTTGTTTTCCATCATTCTGTTTGCGAGTCAATATAACGAAATATGTATATAATACAATTTGCGAAGTTTTATTTCTGTTTATAAATCCGATGCAGTTGAAAAAGGAAATACAAAATCACAGTTCAAATTATGTATCTCACTTCGAATTTTAAAAGTGATTTCAAAACGCAATCTGCGTCTTTTCATGGCGTTTTCTTTAAGCATTTTATAATCTTAGCACTTGCCGGTTTGAAAACCTGACCGTTACTGTTAGAAAAACAGGCATATATTTTCGTTTGTTTATATTGATCGATAAAACCCATTCCACATGCTGTTTATTTCATTTACCCATCCTCATTATTCAAGGATCGCTAAAAGAAATCCGTTGTTTCATCCTGTTCAGATGTAAACAATTCGGTACGTATCCGAAAGAGACACAACTGTTATCCGTTGTATTTTTTTCTGGATTATCATCTGATGATGGTGAGAGAATATGTCAAGGCAAAATAATATGAGAGTATTCCAGAATATTTCATGTTTAAAATATTTAACAACAGAAGCACGGTAGAATAATTGATAGCGGCTCGGATTGAGAAATCGGAGTGCCGAGTTCAAATTCCAGTCAAATTCCATTCACTCACGTGCTAATAATCTTGGGAAAGATATGAAACCTCTTCTTCCCCCAGCTATGGATAAATAGCAGGACAGACCGGATTCTGTAGCCTTGGATGGCTACTGGTCTACCGCAGAAAGAAATAGCAACCTATGTCGGAAAAATCTGCCTCGTC